CAATGATTTAAAAAATAGTACTCTAAGATCATGAATGTAGGCATGGACTCGGGCCGGGTCGGGCCCGGGCCGGCCCTAGGCCCGGTGGGCCGCCGGTTTGTAACTCATGGACCCGGGACCGGTCCGAGGTTTGGACGGGTCCGGTTCGGGCCACCCGCCGGGCCGGGCCAGGCCGGTTAAAACCATTTCTTTTATATAATTTATACTTTATAGTTTTATACAAGTATTAAAAACAAACTTCAAGTGCATTTATTTGAAATGAAACAAGAACTACATTTGACAATTAAGAGAAACATACAATATGAAATACATTTTGTAAATTGTAATCAATCGGAACTTCCCGCACCTCCCGATCCTTTAACTTTGTCACATGACTTAATATGCTTCATTGTCATCCCGTATCCGCCTGAAACCCCATGCTACACTTTTTCCCGCACCATTTGCAAGTTGCGTACCACATCCCGGTCTTCGAGTTATAGCAAATTACTATTTTAAAGTTTACTTTAATCAAATTACTAGTAATTAAATAATACTTTAATTCGAGTGAAATGTGAAGTAAAAAGTGTGAATTGAACCAAAATTTATAGCAATACTATTGTTTAATAAATAGTCAAATTAACTAGTGAATTAACTAGTTTTGTGTACAACCTATTTTTTTTACTAACAATCAAATTAATATACTTTAACTTTAACTATAATAAGAATTAACTAGTTTTTTAAACTAAAGTCAAAGGTAGCAATTAATAAAAAATTGTAATAAAGTAATTAACTACTTTGATGAAAAATTAAACAATTCGTGTGAAAACTAATTAACTAATCAGCTACTTTTTTGTACTACCTATTTTTTTTACTAACAATCAAATTAATATACTTTAACTTTAACTATAATGAGAATTAACTAGTTTTTTAAACTAGAGTCAAAGGTAGCAATTAATAAAAAATTGTAATAAAGTAATTAACTACTTTAATGAAAAATTAAACAATTCGTGTGAAAACTAATTAACTAATCAACTAGTTTTTTGTACTGCCTATTTTTTTACTAACAATCAAATTATTATAGTTTAACTTTAACTATAATGAGAATTAACTAGTTTTTTTTTCAAGTAATGTTAATATAAAATAAACAAGTGTAAATAATAGAATGATTTCGTACCTTTTTCGGACTTTCGGTCTTTCGGATGGGAGTAATAGAATGACTTCAAATTAATTAGATATAAGTCCAACTATATTAAATTATTAATAGATATAATAAATGTATAAGTAATATATAATTAGATAAGAAATATAAGTAATATAATGTATGTATTTATAAATTATAAGTAGATAATTAATATAAAGTAGATATATAAATATAATATATTGGAAAATAAGAGAATTAGAGAGTAGAGAGTTAATAGTAGGATTTAGGAAGAATTGGAGAAGAGACATGCAAAAATGTTTAAGATTAGGAGTATTTATAGGTTCTTTTTACCCCACCCCCCAAACCCCCCGGACCCCCCTGCAGCCCACCCAACGGCTATATAGCCGTTTGGGTTGTCCCCGGCCCACCCCAACGGTCATCTTTGGCCCAAAAGATTTTTTTTTGAAATGTATGTAGCCGTTGTGACCCGGACCCGAGCCGACCCGGCCGGGCCAGGTCACATTTTGCATGAACCGAGCTCGCCCCCGCTTCCCCCACCAGTTCGGGTCCACACCCGGTCCCGGACCGCCAGACCGGGTCGGTCCCGGGCCCGCACTGTAGCGGGCTGGGCCGGGTGGCCCGAACCGAGTCCATCCCTACATGAATGAATATAAAAGACACTCATCGCACATTAAATCTTAGAATGACATATCCTTCTTAAACTTCAATGTCTTTGTGGGCAAAATAAGAATGCCGTTAATTTCATCTAAATGTTACTTAAAAGTTAATCATGTGATATTTTAGTACTTAGTTTGTCAACTTGATTTTTCTAGCAAAAAATCTTTTACACATTATCTTTATTAGCAATCTCTAGACATGCAGTAAGGGTATGTAATGAAAAAATAATACGCGTAAAAGAATCAAAATCTTATTGAATGTTACATCTTACTCCCATAATTTAGTCCCATGTCACCTTGTTTCTATCTTATCTCTACAATCTTATAAGAGTGAATATTGTTAAGGGTGTAATTGTCATACAAAATGTGTTGGTGTCTCTTGTTGCATAAAGTGGTTATACATCATGCATGGTTTTTTGCACTTATAAGCTTATCATAGCATGTGGTTTAACAGAACTTTACGGGCGCCGTCACATGATGGATGGTCTCTCCTATCAAATCGGAGACTATCAATCGACTATACAGCTGCTCCGCAACCTCGCCATACGTGCTACCAACACAATTAAAACCCTCTCCGTCGTTGGGCCTTTGTTCCTTGTTGGCAGCTTCTCCAACCAATTTGACCTAGCTAATGAAAAACTTCTGCCAAAGTCTTTGCCAGCTTTCACGTTTGGCAAGTGGGCAGAGCCTTTAGCCTCGTATGAGACTAAGATCGCAAGCAGGCAAGCAGGAGCAGCACACCGGTTCCAGTATCCTGTCCATGGGAGCACCCCAGCAGTGATTGAGGATGGTGAAGGTGGAGCTCTACCAGGCGGAGACTGATACCAGACGCACTTTCTTAAATAGCATATTCTTGTATGTTCAATTGATTTCACACTTCTTAAATAACATACTCTTGTAAGTTCATTTCTCTATTTAGACGATTCACGCTTTCTCTTGATTTTAATAATTAACATTTCCTCTTGATCTAATTTATCAATCTATGTATATGTAGTTCAACATTTTTCATATTAATTTACATGATTTGTTTTAATGTTGTTGTTAGAGTTTCAGGTTTTTGTGTATTCTATTCTACCACCTCGTAACTTTAGTATTGTTGTGTTCAACTTCAACTCACTTATTTATTTACATGTACCTGATTCTTATTACTTCCTAGACGTGAAGAATTCTCTTAGCTTTTTGTATATTCAATTATGCTGCATGTTGGGTCCTTCACTGGTTGTTGTGTGTTCCTAAAATTATTTTCCAGAGTAGTTTGGATGGCTTAAATTGATGAGCCCATCTTTTCCAATTTTGTAGTTTCCCCCTTTAAATTTGTGTGATCTATGTGTTTGCTTAAATGTGCATATGAAATCAATGGATTTCTTGCCCTCCAAACATTTTTTACATGTAATGTATGTATATATGTGTTGTATTTAGGAGGACTGCGGACTGCCATGGTTAACTGGATTGGAGTAACTCAACACCTAACTGCCATCTTCCCCCTCTTTGTTTTTTTATTGTGTTCAGTTTTTAAAGTGTTATCGAAACACATTATTTGTTTGGTTAATAAGTGTTAGGCTGTCAGGACCATAGTTACTGAAAACAAGAAGTGGAGCTTTTCTATGATTGCATATAAAACAACAGAGACCAGAGTAAACTTTAAGAAAAGAACCTCTTCAGTGATGATGTCTTTGTCCTCCTTCCTCTTCTTCCTTAGCCTCTTCAATTGGAATGTTGTCTGACCCTGTGCTGCTCTCTTGATTTGTATAGATCCACTTCATAATATGAACATATAGCTTCTTATTCCTTTTTGGGTAAATTTTAGTATGTTATTTGTTCTTTTGATTAATGCTTAGGCGGTTTTTGACAAAAACAGTGCTCTTGAGCAAATACGCAGTGAACAGAGTTGTATAGATATGTTGATTGCTGATGCAGATTCTTCTTCATAAATAAATGTGGTATGGAGTAGATTCTATATCTCAATGTTTTATTGTACTTTAACTACTAATGTAATGCTTCCGGTTCTCTTGTAAGTGAAACCACCAACTTAATACCAGAGCAACTTGTAACGTCAAGTGACACTTTGATAGTAGTATTTGTTCAGCACTTCATCACTTCAGCCCTTCATAAAACATCCTTCTTTAAACTTGAGCTAGGAATGGTTCCCATTTGTTTCAACATGTGCATCCTTCTTAATTCAAAATTCAATTTATGTTCAAACTCTACCGTTGTATAGAATCTCAAAATGTCTTACAATATGTTTTTTTTTGTATGGAGCTATTCAGATTTAGTGGATGGTCTGCCTCTAATGTTTTTATTTTTTTTTTTGATTTTTTTTTTAAAAATAAAGCTTTGATTAAATTTTTCATCTACTATAAAGATAATTGCTTTTCACAGTATGGCTTGTCGGTAGATCATACAAATCTGAGCGGCAGATGTGTATCGACGATGAACTCGTGCTCGACATTTGTTGGAAGAAGTTTCTCTTTTGTTTGGCTTGTATTTTCGTGTAAGTTGTTGAAAAGTATTGGTGCATTTGTGCATGCTACTATTTGATGTGGAACCTTACTCCTATTATGTGTTATTAATTTATTATAGTCATCTTCACTGGTTTATTCCCCTCTCCTCACATATAATCTAGCCTATAAATGTTTTATTAATTAAGATTCTTTATCAATACATCACAAACTATGTATTCAAATATTGTATTCATATTACTCTTATTGAGTCAAACTAAACCAAGTCATTAATATCCTACAATAGCCGTGGGCATTACCACAAACGCGCAACACGCGTTACTAAACTAGTTTCTACAATAAGAGAATTTGTGCTTTGTAATTTGTACGCGATGTTGGATGCCAACAAATCAATCATTCTCACGCACGACTGCAAGCGGTACACTACAAAGTAAACAAAGGCGTTTTAATCCATTTTAGTTCGGTTTGTAAAAGGGTTGAGAGAATTAGAATCAAACAAAAATCATACTGTACTATTTTTTGATTTGATTCGGTTCGATTTAGTTCAATTTGGTTGGATTTAAATTGGTTGTTTTTTAATAATATATGAAGATTTTATTGAATTTCTTTAGTTCATTTCGGTTTTGTTAGGTTTTAATCGATTTCGATTCGAATCAGTTTCATACAATTTGGAAGATACTATCAAAGTCAAACCAAATGGTATAAGATTCAATTTTGATTTGATACAATTTGGTTAAACCAAACCAACACGCTCACCCCTAGAAAAAAGTCTACAAACGATGTGTGTACAACTAAAATGTGCACAAAAAATGTGTACATTCTTCGTCAATCTTCTCCCTGATTTCCTTTGTAAGCACATACTCAGTATTTGTTCAAGGAAATCAAAAGTAGAGTACATAATAGAAAACCTTTGGCGTCCGTCCTCTCCAAGCTACAACCTTCTTGTCAATTTGTTTGGAAATTGAAAGCATCTGTTGAAATAGAAGGAAACCCTTCTCTGTCGTCATCTTCTTCATCTACATCCACGGGCGTCGATTGGGAAATGGAGGCTCCAACGGGCGGGGTGCAATCGATCGGTTCTGTTTGATTTGGACCGGTTCTTGACTGATTCCGCCGGATTTTGACCAGTTCTACCGGTTTTTACCCTTTCCGCATCGATAACTTGCCCGGGTCAGCGGTTTCCGAGTCAACCCGGCAGGCCCGGTCTGATTTCCTAATCTTAAACTATCTCAAAAATATCCGAGTCCAGATTTCAGATAAGATAGTTTCCATTTTCTAAGCGACCAAATTGGTCGTAGGAACTAGGAAGGCAGACAGTTCAAAGATGTTATCCGGCGATTCTTGCATATTTGGTTCCTAGAAAAATTCCCAGAATTTTACGTTACCAGATGGCCGTTGTGATACCGTCGTCAAGAATATTGTCACCCCCCCTTGACCGGCGCCCGGTGGGGGTGTTTTCTGATTCAAACAGCAGAACTGTGCAGAAGGTGGAAATTTCTCAATCTAATGCGTCGTGTAGAAAGGAAAAAACCAGGATTAGGGTTTTACCGAGAGTCAAGGATTTGGAGGAGGCTGTGAAAGGCTCGAGTTTGGGGGATAACATGAGGTTGTTCGAGCAGTTCTCAGCTCAGCCGGCGAAGCCCAGTGCGATTTCGTCTTCAACTAAGATTAGCAAAGAGGAGGAGCAGAAGCGGGATTACTATCTCAACACAGGCTATGCTATCCGGACTCTCAGAGAGGAGTATCCAACACTGTTCCAGAAGGATCTTACATATGATATCTACAGGTTTTTGTGGTCTTATTTTATAGCATTTGAAGCAATACATGTGATTTCATAGTTGTTAAGGACATTGAATGTGTTTTGTAGCATACTTGACGCCTAATCGAGCATGAAAACAAGAAAGATTAATACTCCGGATTTTTTATGAACAATTATGGGTGCACTTTTTGGTATTTGAAGCAGTTGGAATCTCAAGAACTGATGTTCTATTGGGAAAACTTTGTCTATAATGTGCAAAGTTTGACTCTTTCTTGCATTAAAGTCAAGTATTTCAGGTCTTTTAAAGTTTTGCATGTATTGATTGTTGCTTGTATCTGTTCTCCCATCTCAAACTATCAATATTCTTTTTTGCGCTATATTTTCTCACTCACGAATCACAATCTACTGAGCCATTTTTAAAGAGAGATTATATAGATTGAGATTACTAATACCTCTTTCAAAGATTGTAGCGGGATTTGTTGATAGATAAGGAACTATCTTAGAAAATTTACTTAAAGCATACATTTTTAGTGGCCCATTGATGATAAAAAGAAGTATCATGCTTTCTTTTGCATATTGGCATTATTTTCCTGATAACTAGATAATATATTACCAAGCAGGGAAGCACAATTCCATTTGGTTTGTGGCATATCTACCAACATCGGGATACTTTGAGAAACATATAACATAGGCTTTTGCGGCCTCTGTAATAATGTGATGTTTACTATTCTTGATGTTCCTTTTCACTCTTTACAGGGATGATATTACATACAAAGATCCATTGAACACCTTTGTCGGCATTGAGAATTATAAATCAATCTTTTGGGCGTTACGATTCCATGGTAGAATATTTTTCAGGGAATTGTGGGTTGACATAGTTAGTGTGTGGCAACCTGCAGAGAGCATGATAATAGTGCGTTGGACGGTCCATGGCATCCCGCGTGTCCCTTGGGAGTGCCATGGACGGTTTGATGGCACTTCAGAATATAAACTTGATAAGGAGGGGAAGATATATGAGCACAGGGTCCACAATATTGCTTTAAATGCACCTCCAAAGTTTCGTGTTCAAACTGTTCAGGATATAATAGAATACATTGGGTGCGGATCAACACCTAAGCCTACTTTTTTTGAGTTCTCATCCTCATTCAAGAACTTCGTGGCACTATTAGTGAATTCATGTGGATCCAAGCTTCACTTGTCTTCGGTTTTATCTTCTGTCGGAAAGGAGGAGGATGAGGAATCATCTAAGAAAAGTTCGTCATGAAATGAGTTGTTGCTAGGGGTGAGATGCACTCATGCACTACAATTACCCTTACTCTAGATATGCATCCATAAAAGGGAAACAGTTGTATGTTTCTTACTCCAAGTTAACTGGCAGGGATTTGTAAAATTTTTGTATAGTGGCTTGCTGTACATGATTTAATCTTCTATGCGTTGCCTGGCTACATTAATCTGGTAATGTAATATTTATTGAGGTGTAATATGCGTCAGCTGTACATCTTATTGGCATTATTGGTTTCATCTTCACAGCTAGTATAGGTTTATTGACTCATTATTTCTTCCCTTCTCTCTAGAAGATCAGGTGTGAAGCAGCATTTGAGAAACCAAGATACCCAAACTAGAATCAGGCGATGTCTTTCCAAAAACATGCATGAGTCGGGCCTTGGATTGGAGTCTTAGGAGTTAGGGACTTAGGGCATGTTCTCATTGTTTGTTTCTAGTATCAGATAAGACTTGTAACATATATTATTAGTCATTAAAGCTGTTCAGACTAGATAGAGATATTAAGATCTGAAAAAACACTCAAAAAATAAAAAATTACAGGGCCTTATGTCTGAGTGGTTGTTGGATCATAAACACGATTAGATGGTAAATTTATGATATGTTAGTGTGTGAATAGGCATGGACACTCTTTAGTCGAGATCTTTCTTTCATGAAAAGATCCCTCAAGAGTCTACACATAGATGAGATATTTTAATTGCAATTATCAAATTTTGAAGCAGTTGAAGATATCGTCTTTGGAAGCTTTAATTGGACTGAAATTTTATTTGGTCAGGGTTTGGTATAAGTCTATTGTAGTTGTATAATATGACTAAAGTTTAGTCTGATCTATTTGAATTCAATCTAGTATAATTAAATGTGGCCCATAGCAGCCTAGCAGGTATATGATATGAGTTGGTGCAGTTTTGGTTAGCCTGAAATTGAGTTGAAACTATTGTTGGACTCGGGCCGGGTCGGGCCCGGGTCGGGCCTAGGCCCGGTCGGGCCGCCGGGTTGTATGACATGGGCCCGGGACCGGCCCGAGGGTTGGACGGGTCCGGTTCGGGCCGGGCCACCCGCCCGGGTCATGGGTCGGGTCCGGTTCGGGCCGGGCCGGTTAATTTTTTTTATATAATTTATATTTTATAGGTTATAGTTTTATACGAGTATTAAAAACAAACTTCAATTGCATTTATTTGAAATGAAATAGGAACTACATTTGAAAATTAAAACAAACTTTAAGAGATAAACATTTTGAAAATTGTAATCAATCGGAACTTCCCGCACCTCCCGATCCTTTGGCTTTGTCACATGACTTCATATGCTTGATTGCCATCCCGAATCCGCCTGAAGCCCCCATGCTACATTTTTTCTCGCACCATTTGCAAATTGCGTACCACATCCCGGTCTTCGGGTCCTTTGCTTATCAAAATTATACCGTATAATGGTATCTTGATTTTCCATCTTAACTTCTTAAGTATAAACTATAAAGTATATATATATAATAAATATAATATATTGGAGAATAAGAGAATTAGAGAGTAGAGAGTTAAGAATAGGATTTAGGAAGAATTGGAGAAGAGATATGAAAAAATGTTTAAGATTAGGAGTATTTATAGGTTTTTTTACCCCCCCCCCCACCAGCCAACCCCCCCGGACCCCCCCTTTACCCCACCCAACGGCTATATAGCCGTTTGGGTTGTCCCCAGCCCCACCCCCAACGGCTAGTAGGCCAACCAAACAATTTTTTTTTAAAATAAGACCGGGCCCGACCCGACCGGGCCGGGTCACATTATTCCAGCACTGAGCCCGCCCCGCCCCTTCCCACCGGTTCGGGCCCATACCCGGTCCCGGACCGCCCGACCGAGCCGGTCCCGGGCCCGCACAGTACCGGGCCGGGTCACGGGCTGGGTGGCCCGAACCGAATCCAACCCTAGTTGAAACTGGTCAGCTCTGATTTCAATTTTTTGAGTTTAGTTAATGTTTTTTTGTGTGTGAAGCCGTCCGAATAGGGTTGGATTGGGCCCAAGATGGGACTGGGTATTTGGGTTGTCGGCCTGGTACTGGTCCGGCTTTGTACTGGCCCGGGATCGGGATGGGACTGGGTAGGGTCGGGTCAATGTTTTTTATTTTAAATTTGTTTAAAATGAAAAAAAAAGCCCCCCAAAAAAAATCAACCACTTCAGTCAGAACATCATAAATTTCAGTAGAATTGGGTATTACCAAACATGCACTAAATGTTCACACTTAGTGTTCTTCATATGAAAAAGGTACTACCTCCATCCCATAAAATTCTTCTCATTTTGACTTGGCACGGAGATTAAGAAAGTGGAATGAAGTGGAAATGTATGGTTGTGTTAACCAAATATTCCAGCCCAACTGGTTGCGAGGTTACCGTGCCTAGTGGGAGGTCTCGAGTTCGAAACCTGCTAGACACACAAGAGTTTGAAATTCAATGGAGTGAGTTTTAGCCGTGATTATTTCAGGTCACGCCAGCCCCCCTCCCCCAGACCCCCTGGAGTAAAAAAAATGGTTGTGGTTGTTTAAGAAAAAGGTGAAATGAATGTGAACCACACAAATTGTAAGTGAGAAGAATTTTTTGAGACGGCCTAAAAAGGAAAGTGGAAAGAATTTTATGGGACGGAGGGAGTACTTCTTTTGTTGAAAACGATATGAATTACAAAGTATTACTTTTCTAGTTTAGTTATACTAGAATTTTGAGTATGAAACTTATTTGCATTCAAACTGAAACTCCATTCATTCCTTAAAACTTTGTAATCTTTCCTTTTAGGGACTTCCTAAGAAACTTTGTCATTTTCCTTTTTAATCAATTATTTTGTGGTTCATGTTATTTCTCTCTACTCTGCACAAATCTCAATCACACAACTTTTACTTTAATATTCTTCGTGCCGGTCAAACTTGGCAAAGTTTTAAGGGACAGAGGTAGTATATTTTTTGAACGGTAAGCGCTACTGTACCAATGAAAAAGTGAATGTGTATTTATTATGCATTTGATTGATCCAAGTAAGCATTTCATCATTTATTTATGTTTAAATTATTCAATTACGAATTACGATATTCTAATAAGTCATATGGACAAGGTACTATGAGGATATAAGATCTATAACGGAACTTGTCTTTCTGAGTATGCAAATTTTAATTACTCCCTCCGTCCCAATTTGTAAGATACTTTACGGTGTACGATGTTTGACCGATGATAACGCAAATTGATCACTGTCAACACTCAAATTAGTTTTAGAAAATAAAGTTTACATATTCAGAAACTACATTAAAACCGCTACAAAACCTGCAAAAAATAATTTAAACTTCATAAACTTTTGATATATAAAGTAAAAAAGATTAAGAGTGATTTATATTGACCCAAGTGAATTTGATTCCTCTCACCCGACCCAAAAACATAGGCTGGAATAATCCCAAAAATGAACTTCTTTTTCCAAGTTGATGTAGGCGAGAGAGACTAAATCGTAAGCAGGCACGTGTGTGAGCTTGACCGCGAAGAAGAAGAAGAGTTAAAGAACCAACCGCCCGCCCAGCTCAGTCCAACCACCCTCTCCTCCGTGTCACCCCCGACATTAAATATGACCGTCACTTTCGCTTCCTCATCACTCCAGGAATGCATTTCCCGGCATTCCATCCCCATCAAGATCCCCACCGAAGACCAGCCTAGAGAGAGACCTTCTACCGTTCCACGCACCTCTACACAAAACCCAAATCTTTAAGTTACCACTCTCCCAGTTTCAAGGGATCTCACTGCTCCGCAGCAAGTGGAGATGGAAGTGGCGGTGCAAGCAAATCCGCCTCATGCGGCGATGTCGTTCGATGACATTTCTATGGAGCGGAGCAAGAGCTTCGTCAAAGCGTTACAGGTCTTCTTGATTCCCGGTTTTGTTTTCATTGCTCCTTCCGTTCTTGAGATCTGATCTGCTCGTGTTTGATGGTAGTTTTAGTTTACCTTTGAATTTGCCGTGTAAATTCCTAAATTCCCATCTTTCACGTTGTGGGTTTCCCCCTTTGTCGACCTTTGTTGCTGATCACAACATGTAGTAGACTCTGTAGTTTGCCATGGACTCGAATGTTCGTTCCTTCTCCATTGCGTCTTCCCTTCATTTGGAATGAATGATGGAAAAGTGGCTGTATTAATTTTCCTTCTATTCTTCAATCTTCTATGTTAAGATGGAATTGATGTTTTTTTCCTTGATCAATTCTTTTTCTATGTCCTGCCTCAGGAACTTAAGAACTTGAGGCCCCAACTTTATTCCGCTGCTGATTATTGTGAGAAGTCTTACCTCCAAAGTGAGCAGAAACAGATGTAATTCTATCTTGCTTATACTTTTTTCATACAGAATTATTTCCTTTTTGTTGTACGGATCACTATTCAAAAAAATTGGGTTGTTATAGATATTCACAATTTGTATCCAATTGGACAATGTGACTGCTTTTTAACTATGTGCTCTATTCTAATGTTTGTTTTAGGGTTCTAGAGAACCTGAAGGATTACGCTGTAAGGGCACTTGTAAATGCAGTTGATCACCTAGGAACTGTTTCTTACAAATTGACTGACCTTGTTGGCCAGCAAAGTTCAGACGTTTCAGCCACAGAGCTAAAGATCTTTTGTTTAAAGCAGGTAATTTTTTTAATTCTTGTCTTCTTTGGTCCAGATTTATCATTAAAGAATCAATGTACTGAATTTACACACTTATTTGTTTATGTCAGCGGCTTTTATCTTGTCAAACATACTCAGATAGAGAAGGTCTCAGACAGCAGCAGCTATTAGCTATTATCCCTAGACATCACAAACATTATACTTTACCGAGTATGGTATTTTATGTCTGAACTACTTGAGTCCAAGTCATTTCGAGATCATATTAGGGCTCTTATTTGTGCACTTCATGCAGATATTGTCAACAAGAAGGTTCACTTTGGTCCCCATAATAATTGGCAACATCTACAATCCAGAAACCGCCTTTATGCCTCAGGTAACTGTGGGTTTTCTCTGCCAAGGCAGCATGGTTTCTCCTGTTATCTAAAAATATGTGTTAAGGTTGACATGCGGTCTTTGACTGTAGGCAATCCCACAGCTAAAACTCTCTCTTGGCATCTAGCATCAGAGACCACATCAACTTTGAAAGAGTCTTCATGTGGTTTTGCTGTGTTAGTAGTATCTTCTTGTCTTTGTATATATGCTAATATGCAACAAAGAGTTTTTGAAACCTCTTTAACGTGGGATTTGATTTGATGTTTTCTGAT